ACCTCAGGGGTGTTTTTTTTTTTTTTTTTTTTTTTCTCTCTTTCTCCCAAATGAGTCGGTTCTTGTATGTACTCAATTACACATTTTAAAAAGGAAAAAGTTGTTGAGGAGAAAAAAGTTCATTATAATTTTGACAAATGTAAGGTGCCATAAATGGAACGAATAAATCTTGCGCGGGAGGCCCGCCAAAGATACCGCTTCGGTGAGCGGGTCACAAAACATGAGAAAAGGGCAAAAAAAAAAAGGCAAAAAAAAAAGGCGACAAAAAGGTGAAGCACAATAAAGTGACACACAACAAAACCACGCGAGGCAAAGCAGCTCACTACCAGCTCAACCACGGTAACACGAAACAATGCGAAATAATGTGTAACACGTTTGAAGGGCGAAATCCAGGCTCCAAAATAATATTCACCCCAAGGCATGGGATAAATATAGGGGGAAAACGCCCCTGCGCATCCTCGCCATACGGACGAAGCCGTCTCGGCCTTACCACGATGATTTTTTTGTAAGTGGCCTCCTCTCCCCGTGGGGTCATGTTCGCCCAATTGTTTCCTACAATGTGTTTGGAGGCTCACCTTGACAAAATTTTTTTTTTTTATTTTTTTTTTTTTGCCCTTCAAATTAGATGAGGAATGCACCCATGCGGTGTACTTGTTCTCCTGAGCGCTTCTCCTTGACGAACAAAAAAAAAAAATTTACCAACAGTTTTTTTTTCCCCCACCGCTTTGTAACTCCCATTAGGAGTGCACACCTCTGCAAACGTCTGGGAAATTCCTCGCATGGAACTACCCAATAGTGGATAAAGCAACACTGCTCTCCCTCTCCGAATAAACTTTCCCGGAGTAACACTGCAGCACAATGTCGCTACACTCCAAAAAAAAAAAACAAAAACACACACTAGCGCTATCTCCACCTTCACCATCCAAAACTGCATCAAACGCTCAACCGGGCTAATCGCCCAAGTCAACCGTCTCGACCATATACTCGGGGTCGTAAAAGAGCTTGTTGAACCGCTCGTCCTGCAACAACTCCTGGGCATCCACAATAGCCTTCTGCTTTTTATCGACCTTCTTGTTCACCCTGGTGAGTAGTTTATCAACGTACTCCCTGTTCACCAAAACGCTCTTGTCGGGGATTCGCATCTGCTGTTTCTTCTCCAGCCTCTTTTGCACAATGGCCTTTTTCACTTGGTTCAAATTATCCGCCTCAAGCACGCTCTTAATATCTGTGTACAATTTGGACGGCATATAGTACCCGTGCAGGTAGGAAATTAAGTTAGGTGTTCCTCTCAGGTGACTTATATTCATTCTTTCCACTTGCTCATTCGAAACAAAAACGTAATCGTCAAATAGATCAGTCGAATTCGCATATTGCGTATCACCCTCATTTCTGCTGTTATCATATTTTTCTCTTTCTTCCAATTCTTCAGTTATATTATCTAGAAAGCTACACCACTTGGGGGCGATCCCAATGTACGGGATGAAGTACACAGACACATTCGTACTGTCACAGGGGATGAAACATAGTCCTGAGTTTTTATAAAAGGTAAACGAATTTATACTTATCGTATCATTTCCAAGTAGCTTAAACGCATTTGTTCTTTTTGACCCACTTTTACTCTTTCCATTTTCGTTCTCCCGATCTACTACATGGAACGATAACAAATTCGGCGCATTCTCGTTATATATTTTGATGCAGTTGGCGTCTGCAGATGTGACGTACTCGTTTGATGATGCTCCCCCACCTGACAATGAGGGGTCACAATCTTCATTCCACACAAAGCGGTCATTATCAAATGTTCTACCTCCAACCCCTGCTCCAGCACTCCCTCCACCACTCTTCCCTATGCTCAAAAACTCGATCTTCTTAATGGCCAAATCATTGCAGTGGTCTTTCACAAGCAGCGGTCTGCTGTGACGAATGTCATACATCTTCACAATCCCCGTTTCCGTCCCGACACCCAACTTCAAACCACTTTCAGAAAAACACCCAGCAGTCAATTCTTCCCCTTCATGAATCTCCAAACAACAAATACTCCTCTTCGCACGCTCATCCCACATTTCCAAAAAACCACTGGACCCACCTGTGGCCATCACAGGCAGCTGCATATTTCGACATAAAAAATTATTGTGTTCATTTCTGGTACTCATGGAATTTTCAAATGCACCCTTTTGTAAATTCAAAATGTAAATTTCGTCAAAAGAAGAACAAATATATAAATTAGAATTTTCTCTGTTGTACAGTAAATTTCTGCCCTCCTTTGGAATTCTCATTTTGTAATATTTTCCTGCTGCGTTGTGGAATTCTAAATTCCTGTTTTTGCATAAAAAAGCTAGCTTCTCATAATTACTACTTAAGAATTCAAAATTCACAACCTCTTCGTCAAAATGCCTCCTATGCTTTATGGACATTTCTTTCGTATCGTACAACCCCACCTGGGGTGGATACATCCCACTGATACAGATGTACCTGTCGTCATCGCTGATCTTTACTTGTTCACTCTTTTGTGAAAATTCTAAATCGTGTAATATTTCTACCGAGTTTTCGCTCCTCCCAATCGATGCATTCTTCTTTTGTTTCCTTCCATGCGCCTTTCCAAAGCCACCGATGCCACCACCACTCTCGGGACTCACCCTACCCGATGTTAACGAGTATATTTTAATCCCGTTGTTAATGAACGATTTGATCATCTTCTTCTTGTGACGCTCACATGGGAAAAACCATAAAAATAACTAACTTGTTAACCCAAGCGCCACATCATATAAAGGAAAGGGAAAAAAAAAAAAAATTATTTACTTCTCTTAACCCCGCTGCATACGTCCAGATGATCATGCAAAATTTTATCTCCACCGTTTCGCTGTCATTTTTTTTTTTCTTCCCATTTGTGATGAGTTTTTTTTTTTTTTTTTAAATGCCGTATAACGGCACCGCGCAAAAGCTATACAACAGGCTGCCTTTACAGGGCAGAGTTAAAAAAACATTACTCCCATAACACGTACGAACAACATACGCAAAAAAATTCCAATAACAGGTAAGGCATTTTATTTATTATTTTATTTTGTTCTCTTTTCTTCCCATCACGGTACCATGTGATGGTTTCCACTTTTGGTTTAAATGTCCTTTTTTTTTTTTTAAGATTAAATTGAGACTTCTTCTGCGTCTCCAGCTTTGTTCAGCACGGGCAAGTAAAACAAATTTGCTTCCCTGCCCCCTTTTTTGTCCTCCACACGAAAACAGGAACAGGCGGACGAACAGCAACGGGGAAGTAGTCATCCCGAGCTAATAATCACCCCCGCCGGCAACAACATTCGATTATCCCAAAGGTGACATTTAACCCAATTTGGACGCGTCAAAACATTGTAAAAATTTACTTATTTGATAAAAAAAAAAAAAAATCCCCCCGGTCGCTGCCCCACAAAATGAGGAAGCATGAACGGGGAAAATCATAAAAAATGAAAAGGGGTTGGTAACAAAAAACATATTTTGGCGACACGCACCGCATAGAAAAAGAAGCGACGGCTAGACCAGTTGCTGTCCTGCCCGTACGGGTTGAAACAACCAAACGGGGGAAAGCAGAGCGGTTAGAAAAATTCATCCGCGTGGTCATATGAGTGTCTCCGCTTGCCGTCCCGCCTACTTGGGGGCGAAGAAAAACCAGTGCTTGGTGTACAGCGTCAAATTTGGTAACATCACAAAAATGGGGATGGTGAAAAACAGAAACGTAGAAAATTTAGGTAAAAATAATATGTCCGTTGAACTCATATTGTTACTATTATAATTGGAGAATAAAGACAGAGGAAGCAAATTTACAATATTTAATGAATTCATATTTGACATATATTTGTTGTCACTAGCATTTTTTATTGGTAGACTTCCTAGCCGTATGCTGAATGGTGTAAATCCGTAACTCTTCTCCTCATCGTTGCTTTTCTTCGCTGGCTCGTTTTGCTGATATATGTACCGCATCAGCGGGGAGGTGTATGCTCTCTCTTCTAGGTTGATGTCCATTGGGGCTGCATGAAAGGGGAAAAAAAAAAAAACACACACGTGTTTGAAACTATGCATTACACGGATGGAAACCGAGATAACCCTCTTTCAGTTTCCTTCTGCAGTGTGCCCACACGAATATGTGTATTTCTTCTCAACTATGTATACGCCT